GCAAGAGTCAAAGCTTTTAAAGGAGCAACCTTACTTTTTGACATTATAAAGCTCACTTTGATTTGGTCATTGTAATTCACGTACCTTAGGAACGCAACAGCTCCATATGCCTTGGGACTGGCGTCACAAAACACATGAAGAGAAACTTCACTTATTTCTACACTTTCAAAAAACCTTCTTTTTTCAATAGATACTGATTCAAGTTCACAAAGTTCAGAACACCAGGTTCTCCATTTATTTTGTAAGTCACTTTGCAAATCTTCATCCCATTGTAGACCACGTTCCCACATCTCTTGCAGAAGAATTTTCACAGTACAAAGGGACTGATCAGTCCGCATGGATCAAATATCTTTGAAATAACTCTCAAAACGTGACGCTTGGTGATTCTAGCATCAATGGAATCCCTAGCATCTCTTAAATCTAATTTAATTTTATCCTCAATCGGATCCCACTTCAATCCCAAGGAAACCTGTTCCTTGCCCGAAAGTCAGTATTTTCCTCATATCTATTTTTCATTCCAAAGTTTATACAATTCCGGACAATTAGCTTTTAATTTCCTCAAATGAAATCCCGCTGCTTTCAATATCTCTATTGCCGATAGAACGTCAAATGATAAGCATCGTGAACGGTATTGGCTCCATATAGCAGAGATCATCAACATAAAGAAAAGGAATTTAACATGTCATAACATTTTGGATGATGTTCCTGTAAATTTCTTAATGTGAAATTTCAAAATGCAGCAACCAAGGAAAATGGCGAAGTAAGTAGTTAAACCGAAATGGGAGACGATTTAAATGGAAGAGTTTCGGTTGAATTAATCACCTACCTCTTCGGGAAACCACAAAAATTTAAGGATATTTTCTATCTTCCTCCAGCAATCTCTATCATAAGAAAAAGCTTTCTCTAAATCTCCGCAAAATGCAACTTGATATTCTCCTGAAATTTAAGATTATTCTATCCAATAAATTTGCATAAAGATTTACTCCCGATTCTAGAGACTCATTTAAGAGATTTATTATTTTCAGTTAGCCGTTACTGCTACAGTCATAAACAATTCTGACTCGAGTTGTTTCCTTGTCATCCCTAATTACCGCTCTGTGAGGCATATAATATCCTGAATTTTTATCTTCATTAACACATTTTTCCACAATCTGACATTCTAAAACTGATCCGATATAATTTGTTTATACTGGCCATAAATTTCTTGATTTTTATTTAGTTTTGTGCCTTAACGAATCAAAACGCTTTTTCGCAACCTCATAATTAGAATTCAACCCAACTGCAGGTCCCAAGTTTTCCTTCCACATCAATCTACAAACGTACCTTTCCCCATTAAATTCCAGAGAATTTTCAAATTTTTCAATTAATTGATTGTCCCATACAGAAAAGTTTTGTTTGTCTGACTGAAATTCTTCTGTTTCCCAAAATTTTTTCAAATCGCACTAAATGGAAGAAGAGTCCATGACTAAACATACATTTTCATAATTATTAGTCAATTTATTACTTCCTTCCACTCCCGCTAGTAACCAACCGAAACAAGAATTTATCGCAGTAATGTTTTCATTTAACTTTACTCTCTCGTCATAAACAAGCATCCCAAAATGAATCGCATCCGATAAGTATTTCCGTCTGACAGTCGCCAGAAAATGAATCAGGCAAAGGTAAACCTCTTTCCATCAACGCATTGCGAATAGATACATCAGGAATTTTCAAGGACAAATTAGATATATATTCCGTTATGACAGCTTCTAACTCGTACGATTTCGAACTTTGATCCCTATTGCGCAACGTCAATGAAACGATACCGTATTCCTTCTCACGTGCTATTTTGCCTCCGAAAGCAAAAATAGCTATTCTTTCATAGCGTATTGGCTTTAATTTTAATTCTTTAACTAATCCAGATGAAATAAAACTTCGATGACTACCATTGTCTAAAATAACACTAGTTAAGACCGAATTTTTATCCGAGCAGGCTAAAACTGTACATGTTTGTAAAAAGGGCTTATTTTTGGTACATATATTACTATGAGACACAGACAGAAATATTCTCGGCTTTTTTTTATTAGATTTAGATTGTGAGTCATTCAAAACAGTTTCGCTTTCCACTTGCTTCTCAGAACCTCTCATCGTAACATTAACGGGTTTATTTTTTCTACACACAGACTCATGATGAAAATTGCTTAAACAATTTTTACACGATATTTTTGCCCTACATACGCGAGACATGTGATATTTTTTAAAACAACATCAGCATCTAGCTTCAGTCCTAAGCTTATTTATTTTTTGTTCTACATCCAATTTTTTACAACTTACGGAATCGTGATGACCGTCACAGAATAAACAAACATTTTTTATCTGTGTATTTAACGCTGAAGCGGTTGATATATTTTTAGGCTTTGAATAGTTTTTCTGATAAGTTTGACCACTTTGATAATTTTGGGAAAAGGATCGTTTTGTTTCGTAACTTTTTAGGGGGCTCATCACAGTTTCGGCAATTTCTCTACATTCGACTTCATTCCTCAAAAACGTAATAATTTTCGAAACCTCACAATTCACTTCCCTGTTTCGTTTTCGGTGAAAATCTAACATCAAATCTTGTGGTAGAAACTTCAATAATATTGGATTCAATAAATGCCCATATGAACCCTCCGTTACATTTAATGAACGCAAATTTCTTATATTAACTTCTATTTCATCGTATAATTTACGCAAACCCTTAACATTAGACGAACTTCTCACGGGTTCTAAGCTTAATAATTTAGTCATGTAAGAATTTATAATAGAATCAGTTCTACCATATCTTTGTTTTAAAAGCTCAAGACATGAGTCATAGTTTTTCTCATTTAATTCAAAACCCGCAACAACGTTATATGCAGGACCAGAAAGAAGAGATTTTAAATATTGGAATTTTTCAGTTTTCGTAAGTGAATTGTTTGAACCGATTGCGCTATCAAAACAGTTTTAAGAATTCCATAAATTTGCCAGAATCACCAGAGAATCGCGAAATTTCTAACTTTGGTAATTTTAAAGCCGTAACGGTGTTTTCCGAAACACTAGATGTGGTAAGAACTGAAGAAGTCCGTTGAACATTTTATGCTGCTAATTCTTTAATTTTGTTCTTTAGTTTAATCTTAGCTAACAATATTTTGTCATCGTATTCTTCCAAAGCTTTTAATTCATTTTTAAATTTTTCCGGATCGTCTATGAGTGCTTCCACCTCTAAATCATGGCTTTTCAAGATCTGCTCTTTCGTTTCTAATGCCCATCAGCGGCCGAGCGGTAAAGTCGCTGAACACTGGTAGTTCGGTCCGAGGTTCGAATCCCGTGAACGAGCTGGCTGCATGGGCTTTTTCGTGGTTTTCCCCATGTGTAACGTGTATACGAGCCAGTTTCCCTTAGAAAGTCCTCCACGAAGGCATCCCTCCCCTTAGGCAGACAGCCCTAGTGTGCTTTGCCATAATTAAATACACACACTTTCGTTTCTAATAGTTCCAGTAGTTCTGATAACGAACTTACGTCTTCGACAGCTTCATCGAACTTCTGCACTCTTTTAACTAGTTTAGTAACACTAGCGCGAACGTTACTTCTCTTCTTTCAATTATTTTCGAAAGCTTATCCATATTAACTCCGAATTTGTTGAGTTCAAAAGATCTTACCTCACACAGTCCAGTATGGCAATGTTACGTATCCAAAAGCGTACGTTAAAGTATCCAAACTTTTCCCAGAAAATATAATCCAGTAATGATGACTAATTACTTCCGATATTCCACATTGCGTGGGACAAGATGCACCAATTTTGCATCTAATGGTTCTGTGAGACTAAAGGTGCATCCAAGAGATAATAAGAGGTTTTGTAAACAATAACAACATTAATTTACAAGAAAATATATGAAAATTTCAAGCAATTAGAGATATATTATTAGGCATCGCTGCCTTGCATGTCCTACACCTTTAGTATCCTGCCTGCCACTGACTATTGGGACGAACACAGGGTCCTCTAGTCAGAATGACACTGGAAATATGTAATAGGGATAAATGATACTCACAGTGAAGATTTAAAATTTAAAGAGGAATTTATTTCTCAATTCGAAAGTAGTTTAAAATATGAAAATGGAATGTATACAACTAAATTATTCTGGGACGGTAAACCAGAAAACTTGTCTAACAATTTCGCGGTAGCAAAACGAAGATTTCGTAACTTAAGTGTAAAAATGAAAGAAAATGATTGGGTTTATAATGAATATAAGAATATAGTTAAGGAGCAATTAAAACTGAATATCGTTGAAGAATGTCCTTTCGGCTTAGAAGAGAATTCTTATTATATGCCTCATTCAGCTGTAGTAAGATCGGATAGGGACACTACGAAAGTCAGATTGGTTTTCGATGCATCGTCAAAAGGTAATGGGTGCAAATCTCTTAATGAATGCTTAAATCCTGGGCCACCGTTGAATCCCAGAATTTTGGATGTAATCTTGCGATTTCGCGAATATGAATATGCATTCAGCTGTGATATTCAGGGAGCATTTTTGACCATAGGAATAGCGGAAGAGGATAGAGACTATTTACGTTTTTTCTGGTTTCCAGATGAAAGTGATTCAAAAACTTACAAAATTTTACGAATGACTCGCGTTCCCTTTGGAGTGACATCAAGCCCATTTATCCTTGCTGCGACTATTAAATACCACATTAGAAAATATAAACTTGAACAAAGCGAAACTTGTGAAATGCTTGACTCGGCACTTTATGTAGATGATCTTTTTTACGGAGCAAATACAATAGAGAAAACTTTAGAACTTTCACAGAGCGCTGTAAAAATTCTTAAAGATGCGAACATGAATTTAAGAAAATTTAATACTAATTCGGATGAGTTGAGAAATTTATGGAGTGAACGAGGTTTGTCTGATGTGACAGAAACTAAAGAACGTCCTTTGAAGGTTTTAGGCATAATATGGAACACCGAAGAAGATACTTTTAAGTTAGATGTAAAACCTCTACTGGACATGACCTGTGATAGGAAGAATTCAAAACGTAGTGTACTTCAGACAGCTTCGAAGTTATTTGATCCTATGGGAATTGCATCACCTTTTATTGTTCTCATAAAATTATTAATGCAAGAAATATGGGAACTTGGTTTAGGATGGGATGATGAGCTATCAACTGACTTGAAGAAAAAATGGGATAATTGGTGCTCTCAGATTTATCTGTTGAAAGATTTGACAATCGAAAGAAAATATTTCTCCATACCATGGAAGTTGGTGAAAGAATTAGAACTACACATATTTTCTGACGCTTCTCCTAAAGCTTTCGGAGCAGTTGCGTACTTCCGTTACGTGTCAAGTGATGATTGTATTTATACAAGTTTTATCACTGCGAAATCTAGAATCGCACCGCTTAAAAGGTTGACATTACCGAGGCTTGAACTTATGGGAGCTGTTATTTCTTCTAGACTTTTCCAATATTTGAAAACAAATTTTAAATTTCCTGTGCCTAGGGTATATATGTGGACAGATTCCTTAATCGCTCTTCATTGGATTAAAGGGAAAGCTTCAAAATGGAAACCTTTTGTATCGAACCGTGTATCCGAAATCCAGTCTAGAACTGATCCTGCTGATTGGAATCACTGTAGTGGGCAGGATAATCCTGCAGATTTCATATCTCGAGGAGCTACCGTGGAAAAGTTTATGTCCAGTTCGATTTGGATGCAAGGTCCAGAATGGCTTCGGTTGAAGAAAAGGGATTGGCCAAAAGGCTCTAATTATGAAATTTCGTCTAGAGATTTCTCCAGAAGTATATTGCGAAAAAAGAAGTAAACTGGAAGAAGTATCGTCTTTTGTGTGCGAAGTGCAATCGAATTTGACACATTTAATGGATTTGAATAGATATAGTAGTTTAAGAAAATTATACCGTGTTACAAGTTGGATACTACGATTTATATACAACCTTAAATTTAAAACTAAACGATGTGGTGAACTAAGCACTGAAGAACTTAACGAGGCTGAAATTATCTGGACAAAAACTGTTCAAAGTGAAGCTTTTGCGGAAGAGCTGTCCTCTTTGAGACAGGGTAAAACAATTTCTAAGACTTCCTCTATTCTAGAACTGAATCCCGTTCTTAATAATGACGGGATAATGCATGTTGGTGGAAGACTTCAGAAGTCAAGACTTTCTTACCTTCAAAGACACCCAATTATTATGCCCTCAAAACATCACTTTGTGAATTTATTAGTGTGGGATGCACACAGCAAAGTGTTTCACGGTGGAATTTCTGATCGAAAGATACTGGATAATTAAAGGAAGACAAACTTGCTTTTCGACGATTCATTGCTCGTCGAGGTCTATGTTCTCAAGTTTTGACGGACAATGCCAAAACTTTCAAACGATCGGAACTTGAACTTAAAAATATGTGGACTGTCATTAGTCATCCAACAGTAAAAGACTTTTACGCCTCCCACAAAATCCAATGGTGCTACATCGCTGAGAAAGCTGCGTGGTGGGGTGGCTTCTATGAAAGACTAATTAAATCTGTAAAACTTGCTTTACCAAAAACTCTCAGAAAAACCAAGAAAAACCAAGAACTTTGTGTAGTTTCTTTAATAAGTGAATTGATTGAACTTTACATTGTAAAAAGTTTCTTTTGTTAAATTTTTATCAATGCAAGTGTTTTGAATGAACCCCTGGTCATTCGGGGGGCAGTCTGTAGAAACTGTATTGCACCAGATGGCGCTGTGTGCGCTTGAATTCTTCGGACTAGTGCAGAACCTTTATGATTGCGAAAGAAGTAGCACCAACGCGAAACATTAATCAAAGTTTATCTGTGCCTCTCCTTTTTGTAAATGTATTTAATTGTGTCGTCAATAAAATATAGAGAAAATGATAAAAGTGGTGAATGCGTCTGACAGGTAAGTGAGATTTCTTTATATATTGAATTGAATTGAGTTTTAGCGACAAAGAATGTAAATGCGTATTTACACCTGTTCCGTGTCAGGACAGTTCATGTTTCCAAAGCAAGTCAAGAGGAACACAAGTCCTGATACTAGGACTTAGAAGATAAGTCAAATTAAATATTTCGATAACCCAATAAATTCAAGGTCGAATTAAATATCAATATTTTATTATAAATATGCCTGAGTTCAATATTTTATTTTCGGAGGGAGGGGAAATTTTTTCAGTTTTGGTCCATTATCCTAAGTATATTTGCTTCGATTCTTTATTTTTCCATAAAAGCGAAAATTTTACGCATGGTATACATATAACGCATAGCTTCAACTTAAAATTTAATAATATACAGAGTGGTTATAATTAAAGTTCCAGATTGAAACGGCCATAAAAGGAAAACTACTGGAGCAAATGTTATTAAATTTGGTAATCGTGTAAAGGAGGTCATGGGAATTTATTTTCCGCGAACGGAAATTCGAAACCTCACCACCAGGGAGGAAATGGCGCTGTATCCAATATTGTTAAACGAAATATGAGTCGGAATCTAACTTAACCTTTTGTTACACGGGTTTAATATGTTGTATACCCTTAAGAAACTTTGAAGTAAGCAAATTACCATTTAAATGCGTTAAATTCGATAAAAGTCGAGTGCGCCATCCGTATATGTGAGAAATTCGTCCGTGAAAACCACGAATTAGCGATTAGAAAATGTGAGATCGCAAATCACTCGCACAAGTGCGTACAATCTGGAAATCGTTTTCTTACAGATCGCTAATTTGTAATTTTTGAAGCCTGAATTCGGCCCTAAAACATGAAGATACTGATTCAAAACGCTTTTAATCGATTTAGGCCAAAGAAATCCCTCATGTTATCTACCTAGTTCCATTGCATTCTCCTACTGCATTCGATTGCATAGCAGTCATTCCACACCGTTTAGTGTTGAATGACAGCTAGTATTATAACTGAACCATTTTTCTCTGAAGAGCAGTCGACAGTTGGACCACTGTGAATGCAGCTCACTTAGAGTCATTGTTAAAATGTTTCGTGATACATGAACTGCAGTAACGTGGCATTTTAGATACTACGATTTTTATGCATAGCTGGGCCTCATCTCACGTGTGTCGCACAGTTACTTAGGCAACATTTCACGAATGAATGTCTCATAGGCCGACACTTCCCCTCTTCCCACCAGACCTCAACCTCTGCGACTTTTAGCTATGGGGTTATCTTAAAAGCACTGTTTATGGTGATAATCTAAGCAATTTGGCAGAAATGAAAAATGTGATACACCGATATGTCCGTAACATTCCTCCTGATATGCTAAGAGCTGCTGTTGAGAATGCAGTAACTGGATTTAACTTGCTTTCGGAAAATGCTGGATGCTACATTGAACATGCTTTGTAACACGTTTCGGAAACGATTAAACACATTTTAAAGCAATGTTTTCATGTCATATTTCATTTACCAATATTGCATTCAGCGCCAGTTTTGCCCTGGTGGTGAGTTTTTGAACTCTTTTTTTTTTTCCCCGCGGAAAATAAATTCTCATAACCTCCTTTACACGATTCCTAAGTTTGATAACATTTAGTCCGGTAGTTTTCTTTTTATGACCTTTTCAAAGTGGAATTTTAATTATAACCACCATATAAATTAAACTTTAAAAGTTTGACAGTTTGGTTCAAGTCCCAGCTTTAAAACTATATATATAAACATAAATTTTTATATTAATCCTCTTAGAAAGAATGTTTTAAGAACTAATTTTTCTCTCGCGTTATAGATTGTATAAAAAAACATGTTCTTTAATATGATTTAGATTGTTTCAGCCGATATTGGAATCGGGTAATTTGGTGGTACAGAATAAACACTGCTGGAGTGTTTTATTTCTTTGTCTTTTAGCAAAAATCTTTTAATTAAAATATTTATCCTTTGGACCTCGCTTTAAACTTTATTTATAGTTAAACTGATTAGAAAATGAAAAGCTATCTTCAGCTGAAATGCAATTCATGTAATTGATATTTTTAAAAAATTGACAATAATGAACGTGTTATGTTTTTCAGAAAGAGGTAAAATGGCTGAAACAAAGGTAAAAGTTTTAGTAAGCTGCGACCACGGAGTATTATGCAAATTTAGAAAACTTATAATCATACATGTTAAAAATTTATTGATAAGATCTTCACAATGCTAACATATACACAAATACTTATTAATGATACTTTTGAATAACAAAGCAAAAGTCACCATTCAATTTTACGAACAATTTCTAAAAATTTTGTGACTATGTCCAATTCTTTTGCTACACACTGTTTCGAGAACATGTGTATTCTCCTAAATACAATGCAAAGTCTCCATTTCTGTTATATTGGGAAAGCTATGTTTTAATGTGCCGCCATGTACCTTCAATTGTATTTGTGTGTGCTCATCGAGAAATTCCATGTCTCTATTTTTCTAGCAGCACAGAATCCTGTAAAAAATATCCCATTAAATATACATAAATATCAGAATTCAGTTACATACAAAATAAAAATATACCTGTTGCATGTAATTTTTTTACATTACTTTGATGCAAATTTAATTTGAATATTGTAATGTCAAATTAAAATTTAACTGCAGCATGTAACACTTGAACTGTTCTACAAATTTAAATTTAAAATCCTGTGCTTAATGGTTCTCATTCTGCACTGTAACAAGATTTAAATCTTAATTTTTAATAGTCATTCATTCAAGTGATCAGGTGGCATGATTTCATACTCATAACTTATTTAATATGCTGAATTGATCTCACAGAAAATCCATTTTTCATTACACTTATCTGCTGTTATGTTTTTGCTCAATCATGCAGCATTGTTTACCTTTTTCCATTTATTATAAAAACCTATTTCAAACTGAAAAAAAAAGTGGGAATGAGTTTATCTCCTTTTCTGTAAATGAAATAGAAGGACAAATACTCTATTATTCTTGTATAATTTCAGAAATTTATTTAACTTTAAAATCTAACGACTGCATACTTTCATGGACGAAATGCAGATTGCCCATAACTTATCAGCAATATTTAACTAATTTCCAATTTATTACTTTTTTATAAGCATTACAGTAAATATTCTCTTACTTACTAACAAGCCAGACGTTCTGAAAAGTTATATAAATTCGTATATATGATCAGGCATAATATAAAAGTTGTTCACTTTTGGAACTCTAAATATAGCTGGTTTCTTGATTCCCGAGCTTTTATTCTTCAGTCTAATAGTTCCATACTTACTGTTGCATCCAGGGACGAAACAATTTCCATTCTTTCACTTTTCCATAATGAAAATTGATATCAAATCAACATTTTCGCTTATTACTGTCTATGTCAAATACTACGAAAAGACGAAAAGCTAACGATTGCAGCGCCCTCTATAAATAATATGACAAAAGTGGACCATTTTTGGGAAAAGTCATAATACCGGTTTTCCCTCCTTCTATATACTCCGTGGCTGCAACATTAATAGTGAACAAAAACTGCAGTGAATTTTTCGATGCCATTAAAAATAACAAAGAATTTTTAAAGAAACTTCACACTAGTGAAACATACTACTGAATGAGGTGTGTTGAATCACCAGAAATTTATTTTAACTCATTGCTGTTTTTTGTTAACAACTTCTTTACCTGAAAGTAGTACCTATACTTTTTGGATTACTACTAATGTAAGATAATGTAATCAATAGGAAAAGAAAGGACCACAGTACGTTATTTTGCTGAATGCCTGTTAAAAGATGAACTTTTATGATAAATGAGGTTAAATTAATTATGTTAAGCTCTCAAGAATTATTTGCCAAGATCTTTTATGATACCTGTAAATATGAAATAAAAAAAATTGTAAAATGAGGTTAATTTA